AAAAAAAAAAAAAACAGTCAATTGTGTATAAAAATGTAAGTAACTTCATATACTTTACTACTTGTTTGTTGAACTAAAATCAATGTAACATTTGCAATCATGAAAATATTCAGCAAAATAGCCCCCTTTTCACAGTATGTTACTTAACTACATCATGTTATAAATAAACTAAACATTTACATTTTTTACTTCAGTATGTTTCTTCTGTGAGTTTCTTTATGTGTGCCGTTATGCTATTTGATTTGATTTCTCCATGAAAGTCTCTCACAGAGACAGGCCTCAACAGTGCAACATCGATACCAGAAAGTAAATACAATATCCATTAACAATCATATAAGCTGAATGTAATAAAATGAGAAGAATCATTCTCGCATTTCGATTTTTTGGTCACTTAAGTTTTAATCAGGCTATTTGTCAAGTCGGGCGAGTAAAATTCTTAAGCCACTTTTCAGTAAACTTGCATTAACCCAAAGCAGCTGCGATCCTGCTCAGCTAAGCTGGTGTTCGGCAGGATTTTGCTACTGCAATTCTCTCTCTAGAGTAACTACAGCGGGGGGAAAAATCTCAAGTCTGTCCAATTATTGTAAACAGTCACTGGATCCGTCAGACTGTAATTTTTTTGCAGTACTGTGACCAAAAATATTTAAGACCCACTGAATCTGAATTTAAGATATTTTAAGGATCCGTGGCCACCCTGTTATCACCATGTTCTCAGCATTGAGATGTTGCTTGGCTGTTGACAAGTGGGGGATCTGACACAGTCGAGGTTTGCCTATAGTCACTAACCATGTTACACTAGTTTCCCATGTGTGAAACTACACAAGTAGAACTTCATTCCAATATCCCACCACTCATGCACTCTTGACGCACAGACCTTCTAATGAAGTTCGTCGAGTATTTTAGAAAGACACAGATAAGATATGAAAACCGCCCGGTTCTCCATCCGCCTTGCTGCCTAACAAATTATATCACCCACGCACTGTCACCTTCCATTCATTATTAGTGGTTGCTCGTCTTAGTTGCTTTCAGGCAAATTCAGTCTGACTATACATAGTATATTCTTAAAATTCAGAACAAAAGAACTATTGTTGTCAAAAAGCATAAGTTCCAATCTCTCCTTGGATGCATTTTTAACATTTATATCAGCTTTTATTAGTTTCAGATTATCGTAAATCTGTCTCCAAGCTTATTGTTGAGGCTTTGTCTTCATTACTCATGCAATTCTGCCAGGCTTCTAGGCAAATATCATGAAAAAATATGGCATTTAAAATTTTATTACATTTTATCCCCTGAACTTTAATTTAATATGGACTAAGAGCTGTAAATTACATTTAAGAGGTTTTTTTTTTATTTTTTTAATGTGTCTCAAGGCAAATGTAAGAGCATGCCAGTAATGTCTCTATGTCAGATTGACAGAGAAAAAAGACCTTGTTTCTCAGTCATGCACATATAATAAATTCTAGCTACGTTTTATATTTTCAACAGGGTTATTATCATTAACTAAAACTGACAAAAAATGTAAAAATAAAAAAATACACACTGTATTTCATCTAGTTACAGGGCAACATTTCTCATATTCATTTAGCTTAAGCTGAAGTACTAAAATAAAAATAAAACTTAAAACTATAGACATTAAAAATGACAAAAATGCACAACAAAATGACTTAAAACTTTCAAATTAAAATTAAAACAAATTATAAAAATAAAATCGAAATAAAGATATTAACAAAAACTATAATACTATATATCAATGACATCCTTAAATATGAATTTGTCCTTCTTTTAAATACTATATATATATATATATATATATATATATATATGATGAAGTGTACAGCAGGCAAGAACAGATCTCATTGATGATTGAGTCTCTACATGCCCAGTGATTGGATTCCTTTTTGAAACATAATCGTTGCTAAACAAAAAAGCATTTCAATTTTACCTTATATAACTGTTGGCAAGGTAACAGTTGGCTAAACTCCATGGTCCATCACAAACTCATACTGATGATATTACACACCTTATTATAGTATCAGTATCATTATTTATTTAAAGTAGTGGTTCATAAACTTGTCACCCATATTTAATGAAATTTGCTTTGTCCTTGAGGGATTTTGCTCATGATTTTCAGAAGAAGGTGTATCACTTAACCTGTTCATTTTGGCATCTGCCTAATTTTACCAGCTTTCATCAAGTGAATTTAATGTCCGCAAAAAAAAAAAAAAGGCCACATTTTATCCTACCTTGTTAATAAGCCTACTGTATTTATTTTGCTATCCTTAATGCATGATTTGCTTGATTTTATTATTTGCATTTAGCATTTTTTTCTCTCTTGATTGTAACCCTATCAGAACAAACATTACGTAGCAACATACCGGTTGATAACCACTGATTTAATGTATTTACAGCTGTGAAACTACAAATGTAAACAGCAGTGCATTGAATAAGTAAAAATCTCAAACAGCATTTTGCTGTACCATAAATTTAAGTAATGATGCTCATTTCTATTTCACTTGCAGCGGCTGTGCATGCTTGTACATGAAAATACCCATTTTGTCTGATTTAAAACTGACAGAGAGGACTGTTGTACATCTCCTGTGCTATTCGCCTTGACTGATGTTAAGTATTTATTCTTAGGATTACAGAGTGAACATATTTCTCCGGCAGAAGTGGAATGACCCTCGGTTAGCTTACAGCGAGTTCCCAGATGACTCCCTGGACCTGGATCCCTCAATGTTAGACTCCATTTGGAAGCCTGATCTGTTCTTCGCTAATGAGAAGGGAGCACACTTCCATGAGGTCACCACTGACAACAAGCTCTTGAGAATATTCAAAAATGGAAATGTCCTCTATTCAATCAGGTGAGACTCTTCAGCACCGATCAAAATAGTTATAGGTCGTAGAAAACATTTTGTAGTGTGACTACAGTAAGCAGCAGCTGAGAGTTTCAGTATGTAATAATGCCTAGCATTCAATTAATCAATCAATCAATAAAATGCCTTTGTTTTACTGAAATGTAATAGAATGCTGTATGATGACCATTTTAAATTCCAGCATGTTAACATATTTTGTTTAAATAATACTATACTTATCTAGCTGGATCTGTCCGCTGCTTTTGATCCGGTGAACCACCAGATTCTCCTGTCAACCCTATTGGAAAATGACATCTCAGGAACCGCACGCCAGTGGTTTGAGTCTTACCTCTCAGATAGGTCCTTCAAGGTATCTTGGAGAGGTGAGGTGTCCAAGTCGCAACATCTAGCTACTGGGGTGCCTCAGGGCTCAGTTCTTGGATCACTTCTCTTCTCTATCTACATGGCATCACTTGTCTCTGTTATTCAGAAACATGGCTCTTCATATCACTGCTATGCTGATGACACTCAACT